AAGACCCGCTCTTCCCGTGCCGGGCTGCAGTTCCCCGTGGGCCGTGTGCACCGCCTGCTCCGCAAGGGCAACTACGCCGAGCGGGTGGGAGCCGGCGCGCCGGTGTACCTGGCGGCGGTGCTGGAGTATCTGACCGCCGAGATCCTGGAGCTGGCGGGCAACGCGGCCCGCGACAACAAGAAGACGCGCATCATCCCGCGCCACCTGCAGCTGGCCATCCGCAACGACGAGGAGCTCAACAAGCTGCTGGGTAAAGTCACCATCGCTCAGGGCGGCGTCCTGCCCAACATCCAGGCCGTGCTGCTGCCCAAGAAGACCGAGAGTCACCACAAGGCCAAGGGCAAGTAAGGTGGGAAAATCAGTATCTTAGGCCTTGAAGGAGTCAGTCTTAACCAAAGGCTCTTTTCAGAGCCACCCACGTATTCATTAAAAGGGCTTACATTTTTTTTTAACTCTACAGTAAACCTTAGCGTAACTCTTCCACTCTGTAGGTCGTCAACTATTTTCACTCAGAAACGTGAAACGAACCATTTTAAAGTTTAAAAAGTAAGGAAAACAAAGGAAAAGCTTGTATCACAGATAACTAACGTTGGCCGTTACTGTAGGTTCTCAGGATTGTAAAAATTAAACAATTGGAAATATAATGGGAAGACTAATGATTGGCCAATGTTTAAGATGTGCATCTAGTTAGTGATCTACAGAGTAATAAATCTGCGCCTTTGTCGTGTTACCTTTCGGGAGGAATTGTTCTGCATCCTAATGGGACAAAATCATATCAACTTAACGGTATTTTGTTTTGTTTTGTTTTGTTTGAGAAGCCAGCCACCCTAATTGTAAATAGGAATACAAAACTACATTCCCTGGACTCAGATCGCCCTGAGGCAGAGCTTGTTGAGTTCAGAATGATTTTGATAGGGCATACAGTAATTGTGACACTTATAAAGTCTGGGGGTTTTTTTTACACACCGATTTACACGAGTTGAATCGTAAAAGAAAGGAGAGTACTTTTATGTGAGGATACTAAATTTTAGTGAAAAAGTATGTTAACATAGTTTAATAACAGGTGTGGCATTTTTACTTCAGAGTTAATGGTCATGGTGCACTGGAACAAGTCTTTAGAAAAAAAACCCAAAGTTTAAATGAAGCCAAGATATGGTGGAAGCCTTCCTAAACTTCAGTAAGGGTAAAACAAGCCACTTGGCCAATTATATATGGCGTGCGCCTTTTCAAAGATTATCAAAATAAAGTCAGTTTCAAGCGCTAACATTTAAATATTATGTAGCAAGCAAGATGATATCATCTTAGTAACTACATAAAATTCTAGGGAAAAAAGCCAACTTTTTTAATGAGACGTACAAAAGGGTTGAAAACACCAGCACTTTAAAGGAGAGGAATAGAAGAACATGTTAATATCTGCCTGTGATCACAAAGTGAACGTCGCCGCCAATGCCTTAGCTGCGAGCTGCAGGGGAACGACTGCCTTGTCCAATCAGAAGAGGACCCTGTTTATATATACAGGTAGAAGTGCCTATGCTTTCATTTCTCCATCAGCTGCCTGTTTCAGGAGATTTGTCATGGCCCGGACCAAGCAGACGGCTCGCAAGTCCACCGGCGGCAAGGCGCCCCGCAAGCAGCTCGCCACCAAGGCAGCCCGCAAGAGCGCGCCGGCCACCGGCGGCGTCAAGAAGCCCCACCGCTACCGGCCCGGCACCGTGGCCCTGCGCGAGATCCGCCGCTACCAGAAGTCCACCGAGCTGCTGATCCGCAAGCTGCCGTTCCAGCGCCTGGTGCGCGAGATCGCGCAGGACTTCAAGACCGACCTGCGCTTCCAGAGCTCGGCCGTGATGGCGCTGCAGGAGGCCTGCGAGGCCTACCTGGTGGGGCTGTTTGAGGACACCAACCTGTGTGCCATCCACGCCAAGCGCGTCACCATCATGCCTAAGGACATCCAGCTTGCGCGGCGTATTCGCGGCGAGAGGGCCTGAACCTCAAAGACTTCCAATCACAACCCCAAATGCTCTTTTTAGAGCTACCCACAAACCCCCTGAAAAGAGCTGTTTCTCTGCAATCTTTCCTGTTTCTTGTCTTCGTTAGGCCCCATTAGCGGGTTTCTTAGTACAGTTTAAGGTTTTTGTTTGTTTTTGTTTTTAAAGATGACCGGTAAGGGGATCCTAACCCTTGACTTGGTGTTGTCAGCACCACGCTCTCCCAAGTGAGCCACGGACCGGCCCAAGTTTAAGGTTTTTAAAACCGTAAAGACCCTGTAAATAAGAATTTGGGAAGTCTTAACTTCCAGTGTTAATGAGCCCTCTAGCAAGTATCGGAGCTGGCATTTGAATTCCTACATATATCTTCCCGCCCCCGCGTCTGTTTTGACAGGGTGGTTTCCTGTTAACTTGCACTGTGGTGTGTATTTCCCTCTTCCTAACACAAAATCGAACCTCACCGTTGCATTGAGGTACCGTGGTTAATTCAGGTTAATGCAACCTGTGTTGTCTAAAGTGATAAAAGAAATCCCTCTCCCCTGCTCACCCCGTCCCTTATTTCCTGAGATATGTTTAGTTTCCTATATGACTGAATTTAGAATATTTCAAACTAACATCTGGGCCTGTTCAAGCCCCTTCAGTGTTGTTGATGACCCTCACCGTTGCATTGAGGTACCGTGGTTAATTCAGGTTAATGCAACCTGTGTTGTCTAAAGGGATAAAAGAAATCCCTCTCCCCTGCTCACCCCGTCCCTTATTTCCTGAGATATGTTTAGTTTCCTTTATGACTGAATTTAGAATATTTCAAGCTAACATCTGGGCCTGTTCAAGCCCCTTCAGTGTTGTTGATGACAGATGTTTTGGGGAACAGGAGTCCTTTGGAGGAAGATCGGGCCAGACTAGATTCCCCAAAAAGTCATTATGCTGTTTTCTTTTAACTTCTCTTGGCAGTGGCTAAGGCATATTGAACTGTCCCAGGTGTATCCAAAATTAGGACTGCCTTGTCGGGAAACCTGTGACAGTTTTTTTGAGGACAGGATAAAACACCTGTCTGGGTCTTTGCTTAAATGTTACCTTCCCATCACGGCTTTGTCTGACTACATAAGCATAATTCTCACTATTTTTTTCATCCTATAATTTTTCACCATATGTGTATCATATATTTCTTTCATTCACTTTATTGACCGTCTCATAAAATGCAGGTTCATGAAAGGAGGAACTGTTGCTTACTCATGTATCCCCAGCAATGTAGCAGCTCTCAGTATTTGTTGGATACATGAATGAATGTATGGGTGAATAATAGAAAAGAAACATAACCATGTGGAAAATCCCTGTGAAACTAAAAACACATTAACCTGCTAGGTGTGCTAAAGTCAGCTTCTTGTGGCCCATGATAGGCAATTACCCCATTCATTTTTGTATTCAGAATTCTAGGTTTCTGTAACTTCTATAATCTTTCTTCCAAGCACGCAAGACTTTCCCTGTCAAATTGGCTTGTGTATGTGTGTCATCCTCTCTGTCCCTTCTCTGTTGTCAGCTTATGAAACATGTAAGTGGAAAGATCATAGTATTTTTACATTGAATTTTTAAAAGCAGTTTGGATTCTCTATCTTGTTTCACTTGGCTATTTATGTATGCTACTCAATTATCAGAATCGGTTACATTCTTATGACATTTTTTTTGAAAATAGATTACAAGATCACTCCTGTGACTGTTGCAATCTGCGCAAGCTCATTACCTTCCTGTGAGTGGGTTCGTGGGAAGAATGACCCATGATTTCCACATAGGAAATTTAGGATGATTAATAATTTAATTTATTAATTTAATTTAGGAAGATTATTATTTTATAAAACGGAAATAATGGTATAATTCTTTCTATTGAAATCAATACCTAAAGCAAAACAAAGTACTGAGTGTCCCCCTCTCAGGAGTTAGCCTTTCTCTGGAAAGGAAGGTACACTATTTTGGAGAGAAGCAATGCCCCCTAGGACACTTGGGGGTAGGGGCCTGCTGATCCAGTCTAAGGCCAACTGTTGAACAGATTGTATTCTGAAGTGTATATGATGTGCATTTCTTCCTTCTGGGCAGAGAAACTAAGGGCTATCTAGGTAAGTAAGGAAGGGCCCAGACAGATGGTTCCATCTGCACTGAATAATGCTCTTGCTGGCTGGGTGTGGCACCCTCTCCTGGAGAGGGGCAGCCAATATACTTCTCACAATTAACTTTTCAGTTCTGTTTATGTGAAGAATTTTTTATTCAGGGACAGTGAGCAGTTCTATTTATGTGAACATGGATACTCCACCCCATGTGCTGAAATACAATAGTGTAGTAGCCTTCTAGCTAAGCTCTTTCTGAACCTTAAGCATGTTTTTTATCTTCCTGTATAGGAATTGAGTTTTGCTCTAGAAATGACACACAAAAACAAATACTCGATGATGCCAGATCATTTTGGCTTGTGCTAATGGGTAGATAGATGGTGATGCCATTTACTAAGACGAGTATCACTGGGAGAGTAGAATTGTTGACAGTGATTATCAGTCCAGGGTATGTATTTTTTAGTTTCCTGGAGATCTACAAGAATTTCAGGAGATAAATTACTATGCATGTTTGAAATTCAGAAGATAGGTTTGGGATAGACATAAAGATTTGGAAGTCATTAGTATATAAAAAATATTTAAAACGAAGGGAGTGGCCTACAAATCCCTTCAGGCTCCTAGCTGTCTCTTATAACCTTTGCTTTATTGCCAAATATCAAACTTCTTGTCATTTGCCTGCACATATCACAAGCCAAGATTCTCTGGTGATGCTCATTCTCTGCTGGATCCCCATACTTTTCTCTAATTCCCAATTTCCTTTAGTCTTCAGATCAGATTTTACCTTCCACAGATTTTACTCCTCCTCTGTGCTCCCCTAATTGTCTGTGCTTACTTCTATGGTTACTCTTGCTACATTGTGCTTCAATTATTTATTTGTATTTCTCCCCATTAAATTGTGTTTCTTTAGGACAGGCACTGTATCTTAAGGCTGTATCTTTAATAATGCATGGCACCTAAGTGTGTAATGAATATTTTTGAAAGAATAAGTAGAGTACATTAGAATTTAATAAAAGTGGGAAAGTGTATAGTCTTTGTGCCTGAGTTTCCTGAGATAGCATGAATGTTTCCTGAGTGGCATAAATGTTCCAATCCTGTTCAAGGCCCAGGATAAATGGACCTGGCTGTGCCCATATAGAAATGTGGATGATATGAGGATGTTTGACTTCACTATTTTCAATATGACCTTTGGCTTTTCAGAAGTGGAGACATTTTTTCCATCTGTAGGCGTCCAACCATTAGTGCTCTTGGAATCAACTTAACAGCATCCAGTACCATCACATCACAACCAAGCTTGAACTACTATGCCTGGCTGTCTACTTAACCTGGCAGTATACTAAGCAAGTGTTTAACTCATTTACTAATCAAAATAATGTTCATGAGATAGATTTGTTAACGTGAAAAAACCCAGGTACAAAAACGTAACTACAAATATCACACAGAATAGAACAGGAAAATGTCAAAACACACCTTATACAATAAAGGTAGCTTATTTTGTAAAATTTTATTTCAGCAATACACTAACATATGCACATACATGTGATTATTGGATCCCTAGAGAACATGTACTTTCATTCAGAAAAGACCCTTAATTGGAAGACTTCTACAGCCAATTTTCTTTTTTTTTTTTTTTTTACAAATGCAAAAATCTAAAAAATGTATGACCAATGGATATCTACATGATTTTGCTTATAAACACCGAATGCCTTTTTAAAATAGGCTGGGGAAATAGGGTTAAGGATTCAAGTTACACTGTACTGAGACAAATTCTGAAGAAATGTGCTGTCAGAAAGTAATAAATTATACCCGAGTACTATTTGTTATAAGCCAGGCCTATAAAGGTGACTTTAAGAAACGCAAAATAGTTGATATCTTCCTATTTACAACCCAGTGCGTTTCTCTGAACCATCAATGAAAACCACTGGGTTCCTCCTGACAAACTCGATTTTATAGTAAAACTCATCGCTTATGCCATCTCCTGCTAATTTCCTTATGTGAATATTCATCTCGAACCACTTGAATATTCTTATAGATTCATTACATGAAGGACTTGGAGCCTGTCGTGTTTGCGAGGACACATGTCAATACCACTTTAATATTGTCAGCAGACTCCTTGTAAATACCTGCAGAAAAGAGGAAAAAACCACTAAATTCTGGCAAGGTGGAAATGCGGGTGTTTGGAGTTGGCTAGATTAAGTCTACTTCAAATAATATCTAGTTTTTCATCAAACTACCACTGTTTAGAATTAAGACTGAAAGCAATGCAATAAGTCGTGTCACCTTTTTTGTTACTATAGAAGTGGCTCTGATAAGAGCCTTTGGTTTTAGGTACTTCCGAATTTGGTATATAATGTATGCTATACGAAGTTATTACGAAGGAAATGAATAAGGTTAAAAAAAAAATTCAGGCCATCCTCTATTTTTAAACAATTGCTTATGCAAATTAGGTGGTACGGTAGTTTCTGGTGATTGGTGACTGTCTTGGATGACGTCATACCAGTATGACCAATCAAAATACCCGTCCTGCATAATAGCATTCCATTGGTACCCAGCAGCTTGTTGAGCTCCTCGTCGTTGCGGATGGCCAGCTGCAGGTGGCGCGGGATGATGCGCGTCTTCTTGTTGTCGCGGGCCGCGTTGCCCGCCAGCTCCAGGATCTCGGCGGTCAGATACTCCAGCACCGCCGCCAGGTACACCGGCGCGCCGGCTCCCACCCGCTCGGAGTAGTTGCCCTTGCGGAGCAGGCGGTGCACACGGCCCACGGGGAACTGCAGCCCGGCCCGGGAAGAGCGCGTCTTGGCCTTGGCGCGAGCTTTGCCGCCTTGTTTCAAACGTCCAGACATCTTGAGTCACCTGCCACACTCAAGGAAAACTGAGATGAAAGTGTTAAGACGAGATTTTTATAGCCTGAGCTGGGCGCGAAAAGGAAGCTGTGCGATTGGCTAATTTATTTACATTTAGACCAACAGAACGCGGTTATGCAAGGACGTGCATTTGAAAAGGCAAAACTGGCATATGACGTCATCATAGGAAAACTACCAATCATAAGAGATTTATACTACTTCTAATTTGCATAACCTCATATTAATAAAGAGGACACGATGAGCTCGCAGCTGCTCTCTGTTTAGCTTTATTCCTTTTCCTCCACACCATTCTTGAACCGGTGAAATCGGCCCCGACCCCTAAAAAGAGATCCAAGAAAGCCTTCGCTAAATCGCAGACGGACGGCAAGAAGCTCAGGCGCAGCCGCAAGGAGAGCTACTCCGTGTACGTGTACAAGGTGCTGAAGCAGGTCCACCCCGACACCGGCATCTCGTCCAAGGCCATGGGCATCATGAACTCCTTCGTGAACGACATCTTCGAGCGCATCGCGGGGGAGGCGTCGCGGCTGGCGCATTACAACAAGCGCTCGACCATCACGTCCAGGGAGATCCAGACGGCCGTGCGCCTGCTGCTGCCCGGGGAGCTGGCCAAGCACGCCGTGTCCGAGGGCACCAAGGCCGTCACCAAGTACACCAGCTCCAAGTAAATGGATCGGGAGGTAGTGCTAAACCCAAAGGCTCTTTTCAGAGCCGCTCACAGTCACAAATGAGAGCTCTAATGCTGAATGCTGCTTTTGTGTCTGCGTGGTGCAGAAATAATGTTGCCTGTCTTATTGGTAGTAACTATAACGCAGTGTGGGACGAGTAAACCATAGTTGGCAGGGTGAGTTAGAAGTACGTTGAATATCTTTAATAGAAAAGCCATTACAGAAAGTATAATTGTGGGCTATATGCGAATCTTTCATCGAAGTTAGTCTACTGGGTTGCACCTGAGAACTTTGGCTTTTTTTTTCCTTTGGTACGTGGGCTTGGGAAGGAAAATAGGTCTATCGAAGAGAACTTATTCAAGGACGGCAAGAAGCGCAAGCGCAGCCGCAAGGAGAGCTACTCCGTGTACGTGTACAAGGTGCTGAAGCAGGTCCACCCCGACACCGGCATCTCGTCCAAGGCCATGGGCATCATGAACTCCTTCGTGAACGACATCTTCGAGCGCATCGCGGGGGAGGCGTCGCGGCTGGCGCATTACAACAAGCGCTCGACCATCACGTCCAGGGAGATCCAGACGGCCGTGCGCCTGCTGCTGCCCGGGGAGCTGGCCAAGCACGCCGTGTCCGAGGGCACCAAGGCCGTCACCAAGTACACCAGCGCCAAGAAGTGAGCCGCTGGCTGCAGAGCGATTAGTCCTTCCTGACCCCACACCCCGAAGACTCTTCAGAGTCTCCCGCGTTTTTCTACAAAAGCGTCAGTTAGCTGTTGGTTCTGTTTGTTCTAAGAAAGGATGGCTGTTTTACGTTTTCTTGAATGTGGAATTATAGCTGGTTTTAGGTAGAATAACTTGTTTCTAAGTACCGTTTGGGGCTCTCGCCTATATTTTGGCATTTTAAAGCTGTGGTTTCCCTTTAGTATCACATTTTTTGCGTTTACTGAGTTAATCACGTAAATATCGCCCCCGTGTGACTGGACTGAGGCAGTGTTTGAAGATCCCGCGGTGTACAATAAGTAGCTAGAACGTCACAAAAGTTCCCGGGGCTCTTTCAAGTTATTTCTGAAGAGGCTTAGCTTAGGCTAATTGTTGACTGTAATTACTGACTTTGTAGTTAGAGCAAGGATTTAGACATGGATCTGGAAGTTGTAAATGTCAGCTGACAGAAGCAAGCCCACGTGTCTAAATGCTTGCTCCGAAGCTGCAGCGGACCCACAACCTCCTGCATCTCTTACAACCTAAACTTCAAAATCAGCATGTAAGACAATAGTGCTGACTGAAGACAGTGATTTTGAGCTAGGAGGCAGCATAATTTCGATTAGGTTCATCTTCTAGTTTCTTACGTAGTTGTCTCCATGCAATTTACCCATACCCTGGTCCCCACCCCCATCTGTGCAGTTGCAAGCATTGTTGAAGGTATTAAATGGCTTTTAATAGCAGTGTAGTAAGCATGCTTTGAAAAATAAACCTGGGTCTTTTATGTGTGTCGGGCTGAGAGTGAAAACTTGGAAAACAAAACTTCTTTTCCTCCACCTCTTCACCTCCCTTTGAAACGACATATTTCCAGTAAAGCAGCATGTGCTTTTTCCCTGTTGGCATGAAAGCCTGGTGCTTCTTATGATAGGGGAAGCCAAAATTTAAGGCATGTCTGGTTTGGGGACTGTTCTGAACCACTAGTTGGAGGAATCCAGGGAAGAATTTCTTTTATGTTTTTGCTCAATAGTAAGAAATTAGAAAGTGTAGGTTATGAGGAACATATTCTATTTTATAGAATAATGTATTGCTCTGTTCTAGAATTACTACAAAGCCAATTGAGACCTTTCCAGAAAACAAACAAACAAACAAACAAACAAAACCACAGGTTATAGGAAAGAAAGTACAAGTGTGGCCAGTGTATTTGTTCTTAAGGCAGACCTTGAGATTTGCTTATTCAATTCATCCCCCCTTCTTCACTTGTTCATATTTATTCTGCAAACTGGTCTTAGTGTCCAGTTTGAGTTAAGAAAAGTTCCTGTAATGAGAAAGTCCACAGCATCTTGAAACGGAATAGTTAAGAAAATAAGGACTTTAAAGGCAAACTAAGAAGGGAGAAAAATGGAGCCTGCCTAACTTGGTAAGAGCTTATGCAGTGGAGGAGGGGAAGGTGCTACAGGCAGAGGGGTATGAGCACAGAGTAGGCTGGAGTTCTTTAGAGTTGCTGGAGGCTGAAAAGGCTGGAGATAAATGTGGTGGAGTAAGCGGGAGGGGGCTTTGAAATTCTGAGGACTCTGTATGCCTTGAAAATAGATATGAAGTTTGCCTATTAGGGGAAGGTGGACTCTATGCAGAATTGTTAAATTTTGTAAAATGTGTGTTTCAGATTCATTTTTCTAGTGGCTCAGTAGGGAGAAGATTGGAAAGGAGTGAGATCCAAGGTCAAGAGATTGGAAATACCAGCCAGCAGTGAGGGCTGAAACTAATGCAGGGGCAGCAGCCAGAAAGAGGAGGAGCAGGAGAGGAAAGGGGAATTTAAGGGATAAAGGAGGCAAAATGGATAGGGCTTGCTGCAGGCTGACTTGCAGGGGAAGGTGAGAGAGAAGGACAAACCCGGAATGATGTCCAGGTTTTAGCTTCTGCAGCAAGTACTCAAGAAAGGAGGGGTTTCAGAAGGCAGGTTTGGTAGAAAAGGGGATTTGCTCTGCTTGTTTCTGAGATCCCAAAGGTCCGTTTGCTCACTGCTCAATAGCCAATAACTGAAAAACAAGTGTTGGCGGTAAGGAAAGGCAGCCTTTAATCAGGAAGCCGGCAGCCTGGGGGAATGGTGGACTTATGTCTCGAAGACCATTTTAGCTTCTCCTGGGTTTACCATCTCCACTTCTCCCGTGGGAGCCTTCAGAATGAAGACCCAAAGATAAAGGGAAAATTGTCCATATTTATGCTTAGGTTCTATGAAGCAGGCATAGCTATATAGAAATGTTATTGACAAGAAAAGTAGGCTCTAACGCTAACAGACTGAGTGGGCAAACCCAGCAAGTCCTGCCTGTATGGACTCTTCTTGGCTTCTCTGTGTAGCATTCATTCCTCCAGGGTATGGGGTAGGGCCTTTTCTGGAATGAGGATCTTATGACCTACAATCAGACAAGGTAGGTCAGAAAAGTTCATGGCCAGCTCCAAGACAGAAAGGCAGTGGGTGGAAATTAGTGTATATCTATGTGGAGGATATTGACATTAATGAGATAGAAATAAAACACATGTATTTCACAGGGCCAAAGCCTGTAGCATAGAAGGCCAAAGCCTGTAGTTTAAAGGACCAAAGTCCTTAGTTTAAGCCAAAGCCTGTAGCTTAGAAGGACCAGAGTCCTGTAGTTTAGGAGGACAGAGCTTCTAGTTTAGGGGGCCAAAGCCCAACCCTTTAGGAAAACTCATAGAATTGCTAAGATTAAGAAAGACCAGAAAACTTTCAAATGACTAAAGCCTTTATGTAGATAAGAGAATTGAAGCACAGCAAACAATGATTGCTCTGGGGGCAGTTGTCCTTGGTGCAGCTAAACCTAGATGCTAGGAAGGTATGTGAGCTAAAATCTTCAAGGATATTCTGCTAGTTTGTGCTTGGGGGACGTTCCACATCTTGCCCTAAGCTGTTTCTTTGTGTTTCTAGGGGAGTCAGGGGCTTTGGTGATTATCTCATTGTTTATCTTTGTACATCACATAGCTTAGTTTTATGACTCCTTTTGATGGTAAATTGCTTGAATTATTTTAAGTTACACCTGCTTTAGTGAAGATTGTCACGTAGCCAGTTTGTTTACGTTTTCACTATGATTAACCACCTGTTTTTCTTCTGTAACTTTCTTGTCTTCGCAATGAAAACTGAAGCAAAAACTGACTTGGGGCTGTGCCTGGGCTTTCCTCTCTTGAAGGCATTTTCCCTCCGTGCAGTTGCTTCAGGCTTCTCATTGCTCTGAATACATGGGCTCTGAGTAATCTTTTGCATCTCCATCACTCTGTGAGAGGTGACATATCTGTTAGTGTATATGCCTTGGGGAAGAGAGATTCTAGTTTTTATGGCTTGCCTCAGGGGAAAATGAAGTTGAGAGACAGGAGGACAGCAGAAGGACAGAGAAAAATTTTGCTTTTGAAGCTGCTTCTGAGGCCTTCCCCTTGGGGTATCACTTTCTGGGCCTCAACACCTGCATACAGGAAGGATGAGGAAAGTAAGAAATTCATTGCTCACCTCAATCATTAACAAAGGCTTTCTGAAGTGAGAGCCCTGATTAAGGGAAGGGTGGGGCTGAGAAGAGGAAGGTTCTTGCACACACAGTAATATGATGTTGAAGGCTCAGCCAGACAGTTGGGCTTAACTTATGTGGGATAGTCATAGGATTCTGATAGCATTACCTGGTACTGGAGTATCCAAAAAATCTTTTAAAACTTGCTTATTCTGTTGTTTCCTCTTTTAAAATGTCCTTTGAGTTGTTATCATTAGAAGTAAATGAGTCAACTACTGGAAAGGCTATGCATACTTTTTAGTTGCACAATAAATCAGTATTGTTATTTCTATTACTGACAGAGACCATATTTATACTAACTCCATCTCCACTGCTTTACACAACACTGTTAACGTCCATATAATTTTCTTGACTTTTTCCAGTGCAGGAGGGTGGGGAAGGGAAGAGGGAAGAGAAGAGATAGGAGAGAAGAGGAGGAGAGGATTCACTTCTAGAAAGAGAGCCCAATGTAACAATTTTTTAAAATTGCACAAAGGTTTAATGTTAATATGTACCTATCTATTATTATTATTGTTGTTGCTGTTGTTGTTAATGGCTAACACTTGTTGAAAATTTTAAGCACTGCTCTAAAGGTTTTATATTTAATAACTCAATTTTCCAACATCCTCCTGTATACATTAAGTCATCTCTAGATTACTTATAATACCAAATACAATGTAAATTCTATGTAAATAGTTGTTCTACTGGATTGTTTAGGGAGCAATGACAAGAAAAAGTCTGTACGTGTTCAGTACAGAGGAATTTT